CATATGTGTACATATAAGTGATGCTGTCTAAAAAGTAATGAGAATGCGTTTGCTTCTTGGAAACCGGTAACATCGTAGAAATGGGACGGCGCCAGTAGCTATCTTTTCATTTCAAGGAGTGTTCGTTAAAAAGACGAGCGAAAATTATATTCTTTACACACACTTTAAACATGTTGCATACTTGGAACGTCATTTTTTTCTATGCTTCGAAAAACAATCTACAGAGAGGTTGGACTTCTTCTATCACAAAGATTTGCGGGAATCTCCATTGTGTTCTTTGCAAGGGAAGGCAGGCATTGTTGCTCGAGCTGACACTAGAACGAAGAAGAGGTTCTCGTATCAGCTCGAGCGGATCCTAAATCGCCCGGGGGTTGAGGTCCAGCTCGGTGGTAATCCAGCGCGAGCCGAGGCGACTAAAGGAGCTCCGCTTCGGCTCGCGGAGGGCGTCCCTTATCTTTATGCATATTTCACGGCGTTTTGCGTCGGGCGAACGCTCGCTCGGAAACAAGGAAACTCGGCCGCGTGTGTATCGCATCTTTACGAGCATTGCCCGACACGGCAACGGCAGAACCGCGCGACCGAGATGCAACAACGTGCACGTGCACGCGTACCTACGCGACCGAACATTACCAGTTGTACACGCGTTTCAGAGCGGCGATACTTGCTCTACCAGTTGCCGGGAACACTATTTCTAAGATCGACCAGGAACTGTGCGCCGGTCTAACGAGGTCCGTTCCCGAGGAAATTATCGTCTTATCGGGATGCTTTATTTGCGATACGAGAGGTTACGCCAGAGTTTTGTAACAGGCTGTAATATGTTCGTCGGGGATCCTTCTCGTTTACGATAAAAAGATTTACCACGTGTTTGTAGCAGTGGATACTTTCTTATTCGCATTTAAATTTCATTAGACCTCGAGCTGGAGACAGACTCGAAATTGAACGCTTTGTTGGTCACGCTGTTTGGTCTAGTCGCGAAAACGTCTTTAGGAGAAACGATCCGACTATCAAGGTCTACACCTGTCGCAACACCGCGGGGAACCTAATTTCTCCGCGTGGTACCTACTCGGTCAAGGATATTATACCTTGACTTTTTTGCGAGACAGTAAAATACCGTGTTCGAGCCGGTAAGTGGCACCGTTTTAATAGAATTCTCACGTCTACCGTTTTAGATAGTTAGAAATATCGCCGGAATCGTCGGCGTGGCTTCGGGTACGAGCCGGAATGGCGCATTTCAGATGCGAAGCACACGTGGAATGTGATCTACGCGCGTCTCGCATGTATAATACGGCACGCGGTACTGTTGCGCAACGCGTCGCCTCGCGTATGTACTTAAACGTACTTACATAGGTAAGACTGTTCCTTAACGCGGCCAGGTATCAACGGTAGCGCGAAACATCTATCACCCGTCAAGATTTCAGCGTTATCCTATCCCGAACTCGGTTTAATTTGACGCTACCACCGTTAACCAGATGTTATCCGAGCACCCAGACAACGGCGGTGGTGAACGAGTTTAATATCCGACCGTTTATCACCGAGCTACGCCAATTTTATATAATGCTGACTAAAATAGCTGTTAGATTGCTGCAAAAAATTGTATCATCTATTTCTATACATAGTAAAGATTATAATTATTTTTGCAACAGTCCAATCAACAGGAAAATGCAAATGCATAACTCACGTTCATAATTCTTACTAAATCTCATCTTAATGATGAATGCATCAAGGGCAGCAATTATTTTTGCATAAATCTAATAGCATGTGTACGATATAAATGTATTAAATGTGGAAATTCTACTTTCTTGAGCGCTCAATTTCTTTTTACGAGCATTAAATTTCTTGTGTTCTTAAGATTATTGAGATCTCGGAGTTATGTATTTGCATACATATAATAAGTAGGTTTGTTAATTGACTCGCGAAATTACCATCACGTTTTACGAATCGTTTCAATAAGACATTAAGCAGTTTCTTGCCCGAGTAAATAGAAAGCATACATGCATTTAACGTGGCGTCGTAAAGACTTTCGATGCAACGGTAAATTCCAATAATAATTAGAATCAATTTGATTTCGAGACCGGATATATTGTAGATTAACTCGTTACGAAATGTCGATTATTAATATAGAAATTTTCTATATGATTCAACAATCTGAAAACGTTTTATCATTACGTCGCAAGAGTCGCGCGTTTATGGGTTAATCCGTTAGTTTTAACTTGTATTTACGATCCGTTTCCGCATAATGCAGCACCGAGGGTAATACGACTCCCCGGTGCATCCAGTTTGAGAGACGCGAGTTACTGTTGTTCCTGCGGTGATGTCTGCTCCGAGATCGTGTTTCACGTTCAAGTGGAAAACGTATCGCAAATATTTGTGCTCCTGGCATAATACTCGCAATAAAACGAAACAACGCGCTCCTTCACCTCGGTGTAATGGTGCACCCATCTTGTTTGCGCGCTCGAGATCAACGTGTTTATAATCGAACAACAGTAGTCCTAATCGTTGCAAGATAATACTGTTATTTTACATACATAATTGAATGACTTATCCCAGCGAGGTTCCCTCGGACTAAATCAACTCTATTACTCAAATAAACCATCCACCTCTTGTGGAATCTGGAATAGATGTTCTTGGTGAAACATTTCACGTTAGAACATCGTGTTAATCATTCAAAAATGTCTCGTTATTCCAAGTTTCGCACAGCATAATTTATCTTCAGATAACATAATTTGTCTGGTTTGATAATAAAAAAAGGTCGACGGTTGCGCGTTCGCGTAGCCGCGCTTTCACTTCGCGGGACAGGTTCAATTTCACGTTTAGTCATATCATAGATATTGCTAATTATAATACACCCTCGTTTCCGAGCAAGCGCAAGTAATTTTCGATTAATGTCTCAATGTAATTGACGAATCGGGAGAGAGTGAGATCGGCCGATTCCAATTATCCATTAATCGGTCCCAAACATTCGGTCCCCACAATTAGCCGATCTTTACGAGCAAAGTTACAATTTGATTCGGCCGATATTTATCTAAAACCGCGCCCGCCCGGCCCGGGATAATATTCCTAAGGAGAACGTAAGCACATCGAAGTTAAACGAGATGGAATCTTTACGGGCGATCGTTCCGTACACGTCGATAATATCTCGCTGGCCGCAAGCTGCCGGGGAACAATAATTAACGGTGGCAATAAATAAGCCCGGTCCCCGGTTATTGTGAAACGATAACGCTGGTTGTAAATGTGGCAGTTTCAACCGCGGCACTAATTAGTCCAACAATTATAGTTCGTTGATCCAATACGTCGAAGGAGTGACGCCTTCTTGTCGGGTGAACGCGTTCCCGTTTCACACTATTTACTAATCGGTTACTCCCGCGATATTTCATGCTTCGTTGTTTCGTCGACTAAAAAAAATGCCCAGTAAAACAGCTATGTTTTACGACATGCGAGACGACGAACTCTTTTTGGCTCGCTGCCAACAAGAACGACGTAAGGGGGACGAAAGCTTTCAGGGGAAAGATCGCGTAGAGATATGCAAAACAGGCAGAGGGTGCCCGATGCTATTATCGTTTGCCCTTTGACTATCGATTCTCTTCTTTTCTCAATTCGGTTTCGTTGCTAAGCGTAGCGCGAACATCTGTCCGACGTCGATTCTTCAATCTGACGTCTCTACTCTATTTCCGGAAAGAGATATTGGAAAACTTTCGTTAACCTTCGGTGCAGTCGGCGACATTCTTTCTAATATTACAAACGAGGCTTTTCTTGATAACAATTCCATCATTGATTTACTGTAAGTTGGTATTTCATCAAATATCTGAAGGTGAGATAAATACAATCGCGCAGTCTTTTGCGACGCTGCGTCACAAGGAAGAGCAACCATGGTTAATTTTCTCTCGGAGGGTGCTCCACCCTTGGCGAGTACTCATTGAAACTGAAGGGCACTCCACCGGTTGAAAGGCGTGTCCCAATTTGATTTCCTTTGGCTGGCAGCGTGAGCTTCGACGGCACAACCCCTGAATAGACCGTTCAGGGAGAGAAAAGGAATCTAGGTGTGGTCGATGAACGACCAGTCCTCGCGGATAAATTTAATAATCCAGTGATCGTTTGTTCTCGCGTCTTATTCGAATGGCTTTGTCACGTAAACGTAAACGAAGTTCCCAGGAAGTTTGTGTTACGACTGGTCGAAGAGTTTGAAAGAGCATAGAACATCCGCCGCTTAACTCGCTGCTCCGTGTTATACCACCGGCTAAGGTTGAAATTGCTCGTAATTCATATTGTCTCATTCCGACGTGTAACGGTGCTGCGAATCAACGCCAATCTCTACGTTCGGAAAAGTTCAGTTGTAAAAACGATCCTTTCGGAACAGGTACAACGTGCCGTTTTGTCGTATACATGGATCGCGTCGTCGCCACCGCCTGTGTCCCATGGTTTTGTACAAATAATTTTAAGCGGTCACGGCTACGGGAACAAAACTCAGGTCTAAACAGCGTAACGAAACGACGAAAGTCGGCTTGCCCTACGGACAGACTATAAACTACGCGACCAGTCGTGTACGCTTCCGAACAAGAAAAATTGTTGACATTAATGGACGGACAGTCGGTAGTTACGGCGTGTGCGTGACAGATCGTTACGTCGAAAAATGTGCAAGTTAACTCGAGGAGTGGAATGCACTCGACGGAACGTAGATTACTTGTCAAAAGCTCGCGTTCACTTGACGTTCGAAAAATATTGTCGCTAAGTGTAACGATCGGACCAGACAAAAGGAGCTCTAAATAATATACGGAATGAATCAGAATGCTGATCCAGTGAAATAATTGATTCGTCTTTGATTTCAATAAAAGACGTGTTTGACGGAGCTCGCTCAATTAATATATCATTACATTTGAACATTTCATTTGCTCTTCAACCGGTATTTAATACGATTCCTAAAGCGTGACGATCAAATTGTGGTTTCGAGCAGTAGCGTACGTCTAGAGATAATTCAAGCTAATGCGCCGTGCAACTCGACTCACCTGAAACAAATTGTAACCTTTATCGTACATCCACATCTCGTCGGCCGGATGCTCCTTGGGACTCTCCCGTTGGCTAGCGTTCAGAACCTGAGGAGGCGGACCCCTGGTCAGCTGGATAGCCAGGGACCTTTGAAGAAGTAAGAGGCATCGGGATGGTCCCGAGCCCCCGGGGCCCGTCCCGTCTCCCAAGATCGAGGCCATTTTTCGAGGCCCGCCGCTAACGATTCCAAACACACGGCGGCGGTGGCATCACGGGCTCTGGAAAAAACCGGAGGACGTTAATGTGTTTCTTGTGTTAGCGATTTTTTGTCGAGGAGAAAGAGCGGAGGCGATGAAAGTCGGAGTAGAGATCGTCATTTCGCGACGCGTGTGACTTGAAAATTACACTGTGTTAACAGAGAATTGTGATAGAGGGATTTAGATTTTTTAGTCGAGTTCATTTTTGCATGTAGGTTTGAAAACGACGTAGGTAAATCGTTTTAACCAATGGACAGAGATATCTCTAGAATCCTTTGATAGACACAGGCTCGCTAGCGATAATTCTTATCAGCTATTATGCCGCGGATAGATAAGGCTCGTGGAGTTCAGCGTACCGTTATCCTCGTCCGCGAAAAGTCATGCGCAAACTCGAGTGTAACGCACACCATTAGCATCGCGTACTGGATGGATGGGGCGTTGAAGCAGCACTTTGCATTAGTTACATTATGCCGAAAGGTTGCCTCGAAGTGCCTCCTCCCCGTTCGACGGGACCACACCGTATCGGCGTTCGGCAATTAGTGCCACTCAAAGCCAATTAAAGGTTGCCGTAAAACATTAAACGCGCGTGGTCGATATGTAAGAGGTGTTTCAATAGGCTTAATGCTTCCTTCGATTAGCACGATCGTAATGCTTGGAAATAATCGTTACGTCTCGCATTTAATTCCTTCGTATGGAAATTCTTCGGGGCGATGAAACGGTCTTAAATAGGAAAGTTAACGACGGAGATGTTCGCGAGAGAAAACCGAGGAAAGGAAACGTCCGTTTTGTACGTGACACGTTCGATTCGGGCTCGTTTCTCATTTCCTGCCAGCCACCAGGCTGTAACGTCACGTTTCTCTTTATTGTATCAACAACTACCGCGTCGGCCGGCTAATTGATTTACGCCCTCTCCGCTTGGTCATCAGTAGGACGAAGGAATCTTGTCGGCAAAAATCCACGTGGCCGCCGGGACTTGGACTTGGGAAAGGATACCGAGGGAATAGCTGTTCCGAGAAGGATTATGTGCGAGGGGAACGTGATCGCATCAGTGCGAAGGCTTTGACATGAAACATCGTCGAGACGAATTATTTTCTCTCGGAGTTCCCTCTTCGGAAACTTTGTTATGATTGAAGTATAGTCTGTATAGTGGAAGACGTGGAAACTTTGAAAAAGAATCCCGAAAAGAAATGGTCTTGGCACGAATTTATAGCAGAGTCAAGAAAACTTTCAAGCAATATACGTCAAATGTCTAGTGTCAAACAACTTTTTATTCTTCAAAGAAACAAAGTCATGTCGGGTTTCATGAGAAATTGAAACGGATCATCGAATGACCTATATTGAAATAGTATCTTAAGCCACCGAGGAGAGATTGCTAAAGAATGACAGATTAATCCTGAAGAATTCAAGATAAAAATTGTATATGACTTTTCTTGCAGGCGATAGTAGTACCTACAACTTTTATTTGAAGTATTTTTCGATATTTTGA